GGGAGGGTAAGGAGTTTCTATTTCTATTTCTAAAAGTTATTTTAAAGTGGCAATAATCAATATTTTTATAAAAACAATGTATCAAATGACAAGGTCACTTGTGAGAGGGGTCACTCATATTGATCAACCTGTGAAATCCTTCTGTAGACACAGTTAGAGACTACCTGGTGAACATAGTGGAGCTAAATAGCCTGATATTTCCCTCAGGATGAGACCAAAAACAGCTCAGGTGAACATAAACAGAACCCCTAATGAATGATAATGTTGCTCTGCTGGATGTGTAAATAAGCAACTCTCTGCTAATGAGTTCCCCATATCAACTTTAAAGAGGATAACATTTCAGTGTTCAGGCCTGTGTAAGTGAGGCAATACAACACCTGGGTGACTAAATAACTTCCACGGAGTACAAACATCCAGACTCACTGCTCATTGTTCTTGGGGACTTTAACAGAGCCAGCCTCCAACATGTACTGCAAAAATACCCTAGGTTTCTAGGATCCAAAATCCCGTAGGACCTAAAGTTGGCATCCAACATCAAGCTCATCATCAAAAAGGCCCAGGAAGTTCAAACTGCCCTACAGTAATAATCCAGTCTGTTCTCTGTCAGTCCAGCACTGTCTGGTTTAGCCACCAAACAGGACAAGAGCAGACGGCAACAGACAGTCAGGACTGCAGAAAACACCATTGGTGCCTACCTGCCCTTCATCCAGGACTTACACATCTCCTGAGTCAGGAAACAGAAGGGAAACTCACTGCAGACCAATCACACCCTGGATAGGCATAAATGACTGCAGCTGGCTCTCTGGTATGGTCGGAACAACCTGGAACCTAAAAAATGTGGAGATGACAGTGGGCTTTAGGAGGAGGTCCCCAACACTGCGCCCCTTCACCATACTCAACAGCACCGTGTCTGTTGCAGAAACACAAATGTAAATAGGTAAATAACCTGCAACCACCATGTATTTGTACCTCGTTACAGCAACTGACTGAGAGTGACGTAGGACGTCAAACAAGTCACATCAAAAGTAGATAGTGCCCTCTGCTGTTTAGAAAAGAATATCAAAATATTTATTCATCTAATTGATTTGAATTTTCACATATTTGTATCACGATTTAACTGTTTCGCAGTATGTTGTTGCATTCCAAAATGTGAATTAACTTTTTCTTGCTTAAGCCTGAGCCTAAAAACTATTTCTCAAAAACATAGCACACAGGAATACCCTCACACACTCACACACAGACCTTTCCATTTCCCCAGACCTTTCTCTCCCTACCCAGTTCTTCAGATCAGCATGGATGTGAAGCCAAACGCTGGGAGGGGAAGCTGAAACGGTGCTTTGGAGCACCACATTTGACAGACCACTGCCTGAGGCTATGAACGAGTCTTCCTTCCCCCTCCCTCCCTCAAATTCTGATCTCTATACCTCTTTACCCTCCATCCCTGTATCAAAGCCTGCACTGTACCTTGAGCACAGGAGAAGGAGGTGACCTTCTTGAAGGATCCCTTAGTGAAAAGTGATGAAGATGATGTGGTGATGAAGGACATCAACTAAAAGAAAGAACCTGGAGAAGGCAGTCACAGGGGATGATCTTGCTAAGGGAGAGGATGAAGGAAAGGAGGTAGGAAGAGAGGAGGGAGGAAGAGGCAGCGGCATCAGTGGCGGTGGTTGTGATGGGGGGGGGGGATTAGATTTTGAATCCTCTGCTTGTCTGTTCTAAATATTTCAGGCAGAGAGAGAAACAGACAGAAAATCGAGTCGCTTCATTTTTTCTCTGGATATGAAAGCTGAGCATCAGTCTCGTTTTCTCTTTATTCCCTCTCTACCTTGGATCATCTCATCTCTCATCTTAATCTACAAGGACAGAAAAAGCGTGTCTGAAGGAACGGCGCAATTTCCCTACACAGGAAGAATGAGTATTGAGGGTGAAAGGAGCACCTTCTGTATATGGCTTTCTTTCAGCATGGCAAGATCATTCAACTCTTCATTAATTCTGGTCCTCTCGCATCGTCTTGTCTACATATACTTATTTCTAGGAACAAGCACAGAATAGTTCTGTGACAGCTAACCTATCACCCCTAGCTATCCTAATTCATGTAACCTACTCGAGCTCTTCGCTCTAGTTCATCCGACTACCGCTCTCTGTTACCTCTTGCTCTAGCGCACGCCTCTCTTCTGGAGGGCAAAACCTGTGCGAGCTATGAATACATAATTGCCATCTGTTTAATTTACTGGTTTCGTTTCGAGATTTACTACACTTACAGTCACTGGTATAAGATCTCGACAGGATAGATTTCCCTTACATCCTGCACCACCCAGGCCTCAAACATTACCAATGTAGCACCACAGAAGTGCCAAAACAAGTGTGAGAATCTATAATAACCATTACAAAAAAACTATGCAAAAAAATTGAAATCCTTCAAATCATAGCAATGGCATTTTTTCCGCACATCCAGAACAGAAGGTATATAGAGAATATAAAGCCACCATCCACACGGATGGTCACAATTTGTTGACCTTAAATCACACATCACCCTAACAATCTAATCTATCCTATAACATGGATCACAATACTCTTGTAATATCCTCAGTGTGTATCAACACCACAAGTCGTCTGATCTACAAATACAATTTACAATAAAACTTACTAGCTTCATTTTACTTTCTATAGTTTTATCTCGAATCGTAATATTGAAAACTTTGGCCATATTATATTATTTGACGCCCATACACCCTTTCATAATGCAGGTTATAATTTGAAAATAGTTCAGATTCAATAGCCAACCAGACCCAGCGCAAACAACGAACAAATCTTGTTAGTCAAGCTGCAAAATATGCTGAAGTGATCAAAACGTGAGTGAGCATAGGACAAGAATGCATAATAGGGTATCTACTAATTAAGCCAGCATAGTTCACGTACCACTATTATCTTATGTGAACTCGTACTCTGTGACTACATTCCAGTCATGCCTAGTACTATTTCTGGACACCCTATGATCATTTCTCAGACCGCCCCTGATGGAGCACCCTATTCCCTAAAGAAAGTCTACCTTCCAAAACGAAGAAAGAAACGAAAAGAAATTACATAACTCCTGCTGTACATTGAGTCCAGTGCTTGGCTTATGTCTAATGTCTTTAAAACTAAAAACTAAACTGGAGAGCGCGGCTGGACTGCATGACGTGATTGTATGGCTGTGGCTGTCTCATCTAGCGGGTTACCAAATGCCCTATCATTGTTGTGATAGCACTCTCAGAGAACCAACTTGCACCAGTCACCAATGCATCCACCACATTCAACACCACATCTACACACACACCAACCATGACACACTAAACAGCATCCATCAATCAGATATCACCCCCATCATACCCACACAGGCCGATTCACTGTTGCCAATAACATCTTCTCCGACATATCCACCGGCTCAACACCTTCTAACAGTTAGCACAAGTCTCAGCTGACCCCCCCAACCAGACAGGCACGACAAACAGACATAACTGAACACAAGGTAGAGGAGAGAGCCTCTTGTTCCACATAAACCGATGATGCGTACATACAGCCGCACCCACACGAAATACGCCAAATATCCAGATTTGCATCAATACCATTAGATCATTACTTGGGCGAGTAACAATGTTAAACTACTCTAGTAAATCTCAAATGCTTGTAAATAAGCATCAATGCTTGCATTGTCACAGACCCGCAATCACACATCCACATCAGCTTCTTCTAACACACACTCAATAACCGCATTAATTGAAAGCAGCATCATTCCTAGGACGTGTCTCAGAACTTAGATATTTCTCTCAGCCTCTCAATAGGCATGTATGATATGCGAACCAGAAGGAGCAGAAGTAGCTGCTCATCATTCTCCATCTACAACATATCAAGTAAGACATAGACAAGCGCTATGCATAATGTGTTCTTATTCAACCTTTGTCTTTCCTCGCCGTTTATAAAATACACAACTCCACAGCACAGAGTGTCTGTGTGCGAGATACAGAGTAAGGGAGAGAAAGCGGAGATGCGAAAATAAGAGATGTTGAGAGAAAGCGAGGCAATAACGACAAAGCCATTACTAAGTAATACAGAAACCTGTTAAATCATGATGAAGCTACAAATAAATATTATGATAGAAAATAGATGTAATACTGATGCCATAAATGAAATAAGCCCTATGCACTTTAAAGTCATAACGGCACATAAAATGTCATATCAAACACAAATAATGTCATTACACTTACTGCAAGTAAACGCGAACAACTCAGCAATACTGGGACTTGGAGCAGATGATGTCTAAATTACTAAAATCATTACATAAATCATAAGTGTTCTAATTAGTTAAATTACAATAATAGTGAACATGTAAAAAAATTTTACCCCAGATCTCAAGGCTTTTAATGCTTTTCAATTAAAACGTAATGTTTAGCAGGAGAATGGGTTGGAGGATAGTAAAAAACTACAGCATCACATGATGCAAACCAAGACTACTGGAGCTAGCACTGAACGGAAGCTAACGTCACAAGCTTGAGGTCTTGCTATATTTCGTGGAGTACTCCCATTAAAAGATTGATGTGCGCTTGAGGTCCATAAGGTCGAATCAATTAGGCACGAACCAGAGACTGTCTCTTTAGTGGCACCGCAGAGGCTGGAGATCAATGCAACCATCAAGGGGCAGTGAAGGAACTGAGATCTGTCTTGCAAGTGCTCCCGCAGCGACGCACCCGATGCTCAGGAGGCACCAACAGGGGACCAAGGGGGAGTCATGCGGGCTACCCCCAAACCTTT